TGCCAGATGCCATCTCAAGAGTGCATGCTGCGATATCCAGCTGGGGCCGCTCGTCCCGTGGTTGTGGTGCCAAACGTCTTATATCCGGAACTAACGCTGTGGTATATTGCGCAGTAGCTGTTGCACTTCACATACACCGGTGTACTGCCGCTAGGGTCTTGAGAAGGAGAGCAAGTAGCCGCTGGAAACCCAAGCATGCAAGATCGTCTTACGAATCCTCTAGCGTATGTCAATCTTGCGCCTGCAGCCTGCAATTTATTAATCGGAGGGTAGTTGTTAAAGAGTAATCTCTTTCGAGTTTCGCATCCCTTTGGCCGACCGTTGTATTCGTCGTCATTCGCATTCAGCGGAGAGAATTATTATGACAGGTTCCGTGATCGCGCGACGACAAGTCCATCGTCTCCGAACAGCCGGACGCCAAGCTGATGGAATTGATGATGCAGACGTCGCATTGACTATGGCTCACTGGAGTTTGCTCTTCGCGCGACATCGACGCTCGATCCGGACCGGGTACGTTTCCTTGGCTCCTTTGTTGAGACGCTGGAAACTTTCGATCCATTTGTAGGTGTAGGTGTGAATCGCGATCTTTCGGTGTCGCGCGTGACGGTGAGCAAGCGCTGCGAAAAAGAGCTGGGATGCAAGAGATCTAGGCACGCACGGCTGCTCCAGATTGTCGGAGTTGCGGATGCCGAAGCGCCGGGCGGGTTCTCGCGTTCCATCGCTGAGGCCGCGTCCACGGTCCATCGCAACACCTTCATCAAGTGCATTACGACACATTCGATACATTGTTCAAAGCTGGTTATTCGATTTCAGTATCGTGTGCGCCATGGTTTCTGAACTGCCCTCTACTTCCCTCAGGGTACTGACGGCGACGACAAGCACGGCGCTGCTCCAGCACGAATCTCCACGCGTGTCCCTAATTGATGCTAATGAGCATAAAGGGGTGAGATAATAGGGCTCACATCTCATTTCTCGCAAAACGACGACTATCCAAGTGCATGTATCATGGCTGTGCAAAGCTTGTTGGTTGCGAACGAGCAAACGAGGAGGAACCGTCCATCGACCGAAGACCGAGTAACCGGGACGATGAGGTGCCAAGCCCTATAAAACACGAGGAACCAACTGGATACCGCTAAGAAATCAATCCTTATCGACCGATAATTCGTCGGACTCCTTGGTGGCTTGACAACTCACCGTGTCTCTACAGTGCGGTGGCCTAAAGTTCCTCCGCAGACTGCGTCAAAACGTCAGCATGGCGCCAGTCGTATGCCTCTGAGGTCTACAGACATTGGGCCGAACAACAGTCGAATATAGACGACTACTATTGCAGTCTCTATCTTTCGCACTGTAGCGACTGGCGCATTATTTGCTGTGTGCTTGGCATACTCGGTGTTGTCTTTCGCGGCTATCGTGTCGCGCGAGCCCGTGTCCAAGATACTCGATTGGCCCACAACTTCACATCACCTACGTAGATGATGTGGAGATTCGGATGAAGATGCGTATATACGCAAACACATCCGGTGAAATAAGTTCATCACCAACATTTGCTCAGCCCAAAGCCCATGACGCACCCAATCATACCCACATTCGGAACTCTTGGCGACCGAAGCGATGCCGCTAGACCTATCCTGGGGCAATCCGCGAAACAGTGATGACTTAGAACGTGGCTTGCAAGAGAAGGCTTCCTGCATGCGCCTGTCAGATTTCGCATCCTTGGCTATTCTAGGACTAGCAAACGGGTCGTTGAGATACGCGTAGCCCGCACTGCCTCAGGCTGGGGCTATACTTGCACCATGTATGGATTCGGTGCATGGTGCGAAACACCATCTCACCTGTATCTCCAACTGTAAGCTATAAGGTGCCGGGCCATCCGTCCTTAACAGGTTATCATCACAAACCACCGCACCTACCTCCATCTTCCCCAGATATCACTTATCTCAATCGCTTTCGGAGTATTCCACCCCTATCGCAACGACCCTCCAGCTCCCAAGAACCCTTGACGATGCCCGAACAAGTAGATGTTCCTCAGTGGTGCGTCGAAGTTGGGCCCGAATGTCCCGTAGAGGGTACACTATATGGCTACTACCCCAGTATCGAAGCCAATGCTTTCTTCGCGGCCTTCTTTGGCCTCTGCCTGGTTGTCAACCTGGGGCTGGGCATTCGGTACAAGACGTGGACCTACATGGTAAGTTATTTCTCAACTTAGCAAGACGCATCTAACGTCCGATAGATTGCCCTCTGTCTAGGCTGCTTGGGCGAGCTCGTCGGATACATCGGACGCATCCTCCTGTACAACAACCCTTACGACGAGACAGGCTTCCAGATGCAAATCTGCTGCTTGATTATTTCCCCCGCCTTCGTTTCCGCTGGAATATACCTCACGCTCAAGCACATCGTCATCAACTTCGGACAGTCGTGGTCACGCTTGCCGCCGGTGTGGTACACGCGCATCTTCATCACTGGTGACATCGTCTCGCTCGTTCTCCAGGGTGCCGGCGGTGGCATTGCTGCTACAGCAGATAGCGGCTCGGATTTACAAGACACCGGAACAAATCTCATGGTGGCAGGTGTCGTCATCCAGGTCGTCGTTCTGTCCTTCTTTGGCGCCCTCCTCGTCGAGTACACTATCCGCACCTACAAACGCCGCGAACAACTCTCCTCCAGCGCAATGACGCTCTTCCACAAGACATCGTTCCGCTGCTTCATGTTCGCCATCATCATTGGCTTCTTGGGTATCTTCATTCGATGCATCTACCGTATCCCGGAACTCACGGATGGTTGGGGCAGTGAGCTCATGCGCGACGAGACGGACTTTATCATCTTGGAAGGTGTCATGATCGTCATGAGTGTGTTGGTGCTTACCGTATTCCATCCTGGGTACTGCTTCCCAGCGCTCGGCAACACTATTGGCAAGAACAGGGCGAGTCGGGGCAAGAGTATGGACACCACATCATCGGATAACGACATCGTATTGGGTCGGGTTTAGATACCATGGGTGCTTAGATTACGGGTTTTGTCTCTATTGGGCCATGGGATAGCGCTTTCTTTTGTCAGTACAGGACCTTAGCGAAGACATAGAGTGGAGGATATACCGAGGGAATTTTCTATGCCGAGCAAGGAGTCAGGAGCTTCTGAGGCGTAGTCGCCCGTTGCTAGTAACACAATTTATCTTACAGATCACCTCATCGCGTATCCGCATTTTCAACACTTATTCTCGCGTGCAAAGTTCGTTACGAAGTTCATAGCCTAGAACCCGCAGATGGACTCTGCCCAGCCTCATTAGGAAGCATGTTCCCTACTCCTAGTTGAGGCACAGCTGAATAGTACCTGGACTTCATATGCAGCTGCCGCTGGCGACAGATTGGCGGGCGGCGCTGAAGGCCGAGATTTCGGCGGAGGGCCAACCGAGGTGGATCCAAGATGAGGCTACCTTGGTGTCGGTATGCGATTTGCAAAGCCCATGGCCCTTGGAGGTCTGGCTCGTACCCCTTTCGTCAAGGTGTTTCGGAATGTGCACTCCGTGGGCGAATCGGCAAGGCTGGCGGTACCAACGTGGCTAGCATGTTCACACATTTTCGTTTTCTGGAGCCGGAGCTGAGGAAACTCGTTACGAGAATCACGTGTTGAAGTGTTCAGATTCCACTCTCATCAGATATCATCCTTTATGCAACGGCAGTTCAAAGAGGGAAAGTTTGTCGACATATAACTAGCAAAACCATGCGCATACCATACCAGTCGCCCTATTTTCGAAGTGCTGACTGTGGACTCGAAAAAATGAGGCGGTTCGGCCTCAAACTCCGGACCTTGTAGAGCAAGCAAAAGAGGACGCACGAATGTCGCAGTACTACAGGCACCCGTTCCCGTTGATGGTGTTGCGATCTCTGTGCAATACCACGACAACCAACGTATGTCGATTCCACACAACTTGCCGATGCATGTAGCCAGTAGCATCCGTCGGACGTTTTTTTTTCAACGCGAGGTGGTCTAGGCTCCGATTTTGCCATCGTGGCACCTCAAAGTAATCCTGGAGTTCAGTCTGCCCAGTGACGTCAATCACGCATGTTGTATTTGAACCTCGTCCGCCAACTCTTCCGAGGCGCAATGCGATTTTGCCTTTTTTCTCAATGTACGGATGGCGACATGACGAGCCCACCGGACAGGACCGGTGGCGACGATGCTTTACCGACCTAACTGCCGCATCCAGTGCCGTATATGCATGGTATGCCTACTAGGGTCAAGAGAAGGTTGTTTGGGAGATGCTGTGGATGGCACGACGTCACACTTCGATGCGAGATATTTCTCGGTTGCAATGGACCAGTCTAGCAGTCAGCACGACGCGCACAGCCACCTCCACTCCACCACACCTTTCGCTGCACGCCGTCCAATAATGACCAGCCTTCACCCACACCTCAGGCGGTCGTTTGAGGCTCTCGAAGCGTCGGGGAGCCTGGAACCCCGTTGAATGCTAGCGAGTAAATACATCTGGACCCGAACCGCCGCACGTGTGCCGCCGAAGCTAGCCAATCTATCCGTCTGGAACGTAGCCTCGGTTTCCACCCTCATGCACTTTTCTCCTTCGCCTCTTTTTCATAGTAACAGATTTCGATGTCTTATTCTGGGCCGGTCTTTACAGCACGTGAGATGGTGCGCCATAGCGTCTCATTGGTCAGGAGAGCATTCCCGGACGAAGCTTGCTGTCGGCCTTTTGTACCGAGCTTTCGATCAAATTCGATCTTGGTCGCAAATGCGATCTGTTCAAATATTCCAAGGCGAGGGACCCGTGGCGCATCGACCGGTTTATCTGTGCAACAGGAAGTGGCGAACCGCTGCAGATGTGTACAGGTTGGAGAAGCGCAACTCCAGAGCGCGAGGCGAGCCCAACAACACGGCCTGCTGAACACGCTCACGCATCCGACACTGCCTAGGCTCCACCGGCTCCACAAGCGACTTTGGCATCTCTGAGCACTGGGAATCTCGCCCACTACATCGACATTCACGGTATGGATCACTCGGAGCGATGGCAAAGCATTGCACCAGCCTCAGATGAGCCGGGGCAGCGACGCCCAACCTCAGACCGGCGGAAGAAGCGACAGGCTGTTGCCGTGGCGTGCGTGCAGTGCCGAAATGGGAAGGCCAAGGTACGTAGGACCGAGTTACACGCAATAGCAATGCCCTGGACCATTCCAAGGTATCTCGCTCAGCTTTCAGGCACTATGCCATGCTACTCAGCACTGCAGAGCACTGAATGATACTTCCAAGTACTCAAGGCCCTTGCATACCTGATTTGCGCTCTCCTATAGGTACTCACATCATGTGACACTACCTGTACGTAGGCCTTTTGCAGCTTTCATTGGCCCCGCGGACTGTGCTGATTGATTATTTGCAGTGTGACGGCACAAGGCCCCGATGCAACCGATGCAAGGAGAACGACCTATCATGTCAATACGACGTCGCCGAAGGTGTCTCGCGAGCCGAGCGCATGAAGATTATGAAAAGAGACAGCATGACTGGCGAGCTGGATGATCTGAAGCGCATAGTCACATCGCTACGCTCCGGGACCGACGACCAGGCCGCCGCTGTTCTCGCTCGACTAAGGCTTGGTGAAGCTCCCGAAGAGGTCGCGAAGACCCTCCCAATGACAATATCCCCGGCGATATCCGGCCATCCCCCCAGGTATGCATCACTCGACAGCTTCCTCTGGCTACAACAAGTTGATAACTCTGGTTCAGCTTACTGGGTCAGGAGTCTACCGACACTTCTGGAAGCGGTATGAGCCACGAATCCGCATTCGACACGAGTAAAAGCGGCTCGCAGTTTCGAAAAGGCTCTAACATCTCCATGGCATCGCCAACAAGTCAGAACAGAGGCTGGTCGCCTTCCGCAAACAATCCTTCATCATCATTTGCGTCGGGTAAGGGAAAACAGCAAGCAACGACAGATGGATCAAACGATCATCCTTTCCTAGTCCCGCTGTTTGATCGAGAGGACTATCTCCTAACAAGGGACGAGGGGGAAGAGAGTGAAGAGGAAGATAGGCTTCAGGAAAGCCAGATTGACCCAAGACTTCTGCAGCAAGGAACGAACTTCGATGGAGTCGGGAACGCGGCACCCTCATCGAAACCATCTCGAAGCCAACGGCCCTCACCACACAGACAAAACACGATACGCTCAGCATACCCTACGCATCTGACTGGCCGACAACCGATCGTAAACACCATCAGGATACACCCAAATCTCAACCTCCGCAACCTCTTCGGCAACATGCCATTCTCCAGTAGCATCCGGAGCAACCACTATCCAGGCGACATTCAAGAGACGCAAATCACAAACCTGTTTCTACCCACATGGTCCATGTTACCCATCAACACAGTACCTGACCCCGGGTCATTAAAACGCGCATTCCCAGGTATCTACGAACAAGCCACAACACTCATGAACATGGGCGTACCCGCCGATCAAATCATCGAGATCCATCCGAATCTTGCCGCGCTATGGGACGAAGACGTATACAACAACTCCGGCATACTCACCAAATGGGCAGTCGGCATGGTGCACGGCGTATACATGAAGGGTAACAACTCCACCTTACCCATCCCCCAATCTCCCCTCGCTAACAACCCCCCGCAGGTAACACCTTCTCCTGCTTCGGCTCCATGTACCTCTTCTGGTACCTAATGCGCTGGATGATCTCGCCCAGCCCAGAAACTTACAACGCAATCCCCGAATGGTTCCGCCCCACGCCCAACCAACTCTTCATGCCGCACATCAACATCGTCGACTTCATCGTCTGGCCCGCTTTCCGCGAGCTCGTTACCCAGATCCCTGCTATGCAGGAGCGCATGGAGTGGCTCATGGATATGAGTTTGAATATCCAGTGCGATTGGTCATTTGCGACGGACCAGGCGCTGTGTAGTAATGAAGAGACGGGCCAGGTGGATCTGTGCGATGCCGCGAGGGATGTGGTCAGGGAGTTGGCGAGTTGGTCTCTGGGACCGAGTTTCAGGGGGTATGTTAGTAATGCGGATAGTTATGTGAGGATTAGGACGGAGGGGTATTGATGGAATTCGTGGTGTTGGACGGGAAGATCGACACGAATTACGTTATGCAGAAGGGTTGCGACGGTAGGACGAATTGGCCCTGATCGCTAAGCACGGCACGCTGCGGGGCAGTTTTTTTTTCGCGATCGAGTGTGCCGCGGAGATGTCCGCGGAGATGAATGTTGTAGTGGGACGGGCCGGAACCTTGGCAACCCGAAGGGCGGACCACTTGTTGTTGTTACTAGCGAAGCATATTACACGGAGTTGCTTTTAGTTCAATGGTCGCGTTGAATGAGAAGCTTATGGGGCGACCCGGCGACGATATACGGAGTACGATAGACAAAGAATTGAGGAATTGGAGTGCATTCTACTTTTAATTTGCTGGCTTCGATGTGGTCGCGATGTGCTGCGTGTCTTGTGCGATATGCTGTGTCCTGTATCCCATGTTCACGTCCAGGGTCGCTTACGTGAGAATGAAGATGTATGACGTGCTCACTGACTCGGACTCGACAACGAAACTCATACACATCATCGCAACGCTCGAGTTACAAATGAATGTAATGTATTGAGCATACCAGTATTCGTAACCATCGTGTCGCATTAAGCGTCATGAAAACGTATCCGTCGTGAGCGAGTATGTGCGCGTAGCACCACAAGCTCGTGTCGTGTCGTGAAAGCAGGGAAAGAAAACAAGGAAAGACAAGGCACTTTTCCTCCACCGCCCATTACCACTGCCATGAAGCATAATTCATCGCTGACCATTACCACACTAACCTCTGACCATTGCCATCATGCTCATACTCATCGTATCAACCGTTTGGAAAATACACTGGGATGCCACAGGCGGCAAAACCCTGTACACAACTCTCTTCCAGTATCTCTTACACAAACCCAGCATTATAGTCGTATCGTGGTCATCGTATCATCAGTGTGGTACAACATCTCGGGGCCTCAAACGACCCAGGGGATGAGACCGTCGCGGTGGTACTTGATGCGGAGGTCCTATATAGGTGTCAGTACATATCTCACATTCTTTTCGTGCAATCGAAACTTACTTTGTCCATCAACATGTCCTTGACAGCGTTGATCTGCTGCATGTCCAGCGTTGCGAGCTCCTTCTGAGCTGGCGCAACCATGTCCGGGTGGGTTCTACTAGCGACCTTGCGGTAGGCGAGGTTGATACCGATGGAGCTGATCCTCCAGTTCTGGATACCAAGCATGTTGTAGGCGAGCATGTTGACCGGGGGAAGAAGGTTGGCTAAGGAATTACCACGATCACGGCGAGGACGAAGAGCGCGTGTGGACAGTGGAGGAGGTGGGCCGACCGAGGCGGTGGGACCGAGGGGCGTGGAAGGAGGACCAGGTGGAGTCGTGGGAGGAGTCTCAGTGTAAGGCTCGTAGTTCTCGGTGTTCTCCCAGAGAGGGTCGGCAGGCGAGAAGCGGAATGGAGTGTCGGGAAGACGGGGAGACGGCGAGGGCGTTGAAGCAGTAGAGAAGGTCCTGTCGCCGAGCGGAGTGCGTAAGTTGTTGGTCTTGGACCGCTTGGGTGTCTGAATGGGCCTCGGGACGTCGTTGGCCGCCTCGGTGTCGACGAAGATGGTGAAATCGGGCTTGCGCTTCTTGCTTGGCTTTGTACTCGGCTTCTTGGCAACGGGTGCGGAAAGGACAGTGGGTCGAACCGTGAAAGGTGAACGAAGTGCGGAGACTTGAGAACGAGTACGAGGTAGCGGAGGTGCGAGGTTGCCGTTGTTGACGGGGTCTTGACCCTCGATAGAAGGAAGCGGTGTTGCCGCCGCGATCGCGAAGAAATAGTTGTTGACAGAGTCCGACATCTTGACAAGCTCACTGTAGAGCTATAAACCACTGAAGCTCCCACCAAAGCAAAACGCAGAACGCTAAACAGAACAGAACAGTAAAGAAAAGAGGGACTTACCTAGAAAATGTAGAACAGAACGGTTGACTCGTTGTCTCCGGAACAGAAGCGAGGGAGTGGCCGAAGAAAGGGAAGACGACTACGGGAACAGCGGCCTTTATAAAGAATGACAAGAAGATGAACGGATACTTCGAAGCTGAATGAGAGTCGTAAAGAGAGAGTATAATCGGAGGTGACCGCGAAGACGAATTTGAACAGGCAGGGTGGGCGCTCGGGCACCGGACCCGAGCTACCGTGGTGAAGCCGACAAGACGCTTACAGAAGCTCACAACGCGTAAAAACGCGTAAAAGGCGCGTGTCTTATGTTTCGAAAGCGTTTGTATATCCCTTAAACGGACTTCAGCGCGTCAGAAACAGACGCAGATGACGTACTGATAATCTTGATGGACTGAATTTTGTCTTGATCAGGGAGGGGTCGACAGGTTTGGATGACTCAACGGGTCAGCCGTGACCGTGATTGTGAGGAAGTGATCTCTTTCTTTGCGGCACAAGGGTCTCCTGATCAGCTGGAACCTGGGCGGCTTCCTATTCCAGGTGTGTAGTACGTTCTCGGGACATGCTACCAAAAGTGAAAGAAGCCATCTGGCAATCGTTCTTCGACGAGTACTTTGTAATTATCGAGACATCCAGTATGACTACCGACTCGAACTCGGTTTCTTGTAGAAGAGGATGTTGTGTCGTTGGTATTGGGTTAATTGTGACTGGCTCGCGATATGCAGATGGTCGCGAACCAGAGGATAGCTACCAAGATATGGCAACGCCAACAGTAGGCGCACACAACGAGCATCCGATATATGCAGCGAAACTGTCCATAGCTCAAGGCCGATCAGAGTAGCGCATTCCTTAGTACAGATGTAATTAGACATAAGACCTCGGAAGGTTTGATGTAGAGTTTGCGGATGAGGCAACACTTGCGATGACAAGAAGGCCGTCGTCCAGTATTACTGGCGAAATCGAGTTGATTGAGACTAGACTCGGGAATGGCCATCAAGATCAATCCGCAATACGTAAAGCCTACGTTGAGCATTAGCTATGTGTTTAGATCTTGTGCGTGTAGGCTTGAGAAAGGATGATCGAAAGGTTACAAATCCTGGATATCCAGAGAGAAGATGTATCGAGAGGTTGACGATGCGCAGTAGACGAGAGATGGGGGGCGTTGAGCAGAAGAAGACCGTAGCCGGTAGCCTGGCCCTTGGTGGTCTCTTACTGTTACTTGTATTCTGATTGAAGTTGACGATCGACGTCTTACTGCGACAGGTCTCTTTGCCAGGTAAACACCAGTGAAGTTCGTATACATAATAGCAATACCTACAAGCGGCGATGGTTGGGCCTCGCACGCCACATTGAGCGTAACATGTGAGTCCACCCGGTGATCCGGAATCATAAAGAAAGACGAGTGTTGAGTCCGCTATGTGTTGATTCAGCACCGAAGGTGTTTACGAGATATTAGTTTCGACGTTTGCAGATAGCCCCGAAGAAGGCGGCATGACATGTACTTGCGGACATGAAGTAAAGTCGGCAAACGGTCGTCCTTCGAATTGCCTTACTTGCAGATGCTCAGTCAAGGTCAGGCGGGGGCTTTCCAGAAGCCCGGTGACTGTTTGTCAAGGTTTGTAAAATAAGAGATGTGTCAGTCGGTGAGTAAACAAGTACACTTGTACATCGAAGTCGGTGTTGATGTTTCATCGTCCATCCTGCCCCGGGGGTATTTCGTAGACATATTTGCCGTCAGGGAATCAATTTGAAGGGTGTGTATACCTCCAGCACACGGTGTAATTCTGCGAACAACTCATTGGAGCCCAACGTCTCCATACCGTGGGTGGTGGGAGCCAAACGCTTGCGTGAAGGAGCGCAGATCGTGCTGTTCTTCATTCGTCGTGACTATATGAAGCCTTGAGTGAATGTCGATGTGCATCAGCGGCGCAGGTGAAAAAGGGGGGTTGTTGTTGTCTTGTTGGCAGGCGCGTTGGAGACCAGACGAAAGCATCGGTGCTTCGGCACTTCGGCCCGACCGGATGGCAGTCGCGATGAAACATCGCAACATCACGCCCTCACGACGTCACGACACAGCTTCAGATACGTATCTCAGTCGATACCTGCGATGTCACGCATCGTCCCATTGATCCCAATTGATGCTCTACTAACCCAAGACACTAACGTTGTAGCTTCCGTTTCAGGAAGTGCCGCGGCTGCTGATGCGGGGAAGAAGCTACTCGCTGCTGAGCCGCTGAGCTCGAGTAAGCGTCAATGAGGCATTACGCGTCCCAATTCCATCATCTCACTCTTTCAACTGAATCTTAGGCTATCCGATAGCTCCTTTGGAAAAAGCCCCAAGCAAACATGGCTCTTGCCCCGGCTCCAACGCGTCTACGCCAGATTGCACTTGTCGCAGAGGATATCGAACGCGCGAAGCAGCAGCTTGTACGGCGACGATGCTAAGGTGGGTATATCGAGAACTAACGAAGATGCTAGACCTACGTTCTAGGAACAGAAGTAGTATTCGAGGATCCGGCGGTTGAGCAATGGGGGTTGAAGAACTTCCTCAGTATGTTTATGGTCCCTTCTCTTTCTGGGCTCAGCGACTGACATGACTACAGTACCGATCGGCGGCGACTTCATCGAGGTAGTCTCGCCCATCAAGCCAGGAACCACTGCCGGACGGCTGATCGAGAAGCGTGGTGACGGCGGATACATGATCATCATGCAGACCGAAGACGCGAAAAAGCGACGTGAATACATCGAGGCGAAGGGACTGTCGAGAGTCATCTTTGAGCACAGTTACGCGGATTCAGTGTGTATTCAGTACCATCCAAAGGGCATCAAGGGTACGCGAGGCGCCTACCAATTGCAAGGTTATACGGCTAACGAGGTGACAGGCGGCATGATGCCAGAACTCGATTCCCACGTACCAGGTCCAAAGAATCCTACGCCAGTTCAGTCTCGCTTCTCTCCATGGCATGCCTGCGGCTCAGACATCGACCGCTATAGGGCCGGCATGGAGCGGACCGAACACCTTACGCTAGAGGGCTGTGTACTGCGCCTGCAGCCCGGCGACCTTGGCCACGAAGCGGCCGCACGGGAGTGGGAAGCGATATTTGGCGTCGTGCGAAGTCGTGACCTGCTGGCCTTCACGAACGCCAGGCTGGGTTTCATACCAGGGAGACAAGGGCATCCAGAGGGCCTTGTGTCGATCACGATCGGCGTCAAGGGCCAGGATAAATATGATGCAATACTGGAGAGGGCCCGACAGGCGGGCGTTTGTGGAAACGACGGGATCGACATGTGCGGTGTCAAGTGGTACCTTGCCCTGACAGGTCACAGGGCAACTAAGGGGAAGCTGTAGCTCCATGCACCATCACATCGCACGAACTCTGGCCAGAACCCGTTTCACGTTGCTGACTGCATGCAGCGTGCGATACGCTTTGACACTGCGTTGAGCGTGCCACGTACGAAGCCAAGATCTTATCCGAAGACTGTTGAGATAGCCGTAAGCGCCGCCTTCGAGCGTCACGGAGTCGGTACCCCTCCCCCACCGACGTCATCCGTCGAACAAGATGAATTACCCGTCCTTCGCCAGCATGTTTACGAAGGACGCGTCTCGACCTTTGCGCATTGTTTCATGCTCAGAAAATTTTCATGAGCGAAGCCACGACGCCAAGTTGGCGGGCGTGCGCAGGACAGCAGTTGATGGAGATTACACGCTCCACCCACACCACCCAAGAAGCTTTGGTAAGAGTCCCCCAGTCTGGGCGCAAAGAGCTTCCCATAACACCAAACAGCTGCGCGCATTCTGAAAATTTGCCACTATCCTTCGCTGCTCCGCCTCCCGCTTGCGATCACGATAGGTCCACAGGTGCCTTTGTCGCGGTCTGTGCACTGCACACCCCGCTCGCGGTGACGCCAGGCACTCCCGCGCTCGCGATGGGGACGCGTCTACGCCAATATGGATTATTCCATTACTCCAAGCTGCAGTTGCCGTGCGTTTGCAGCGCGGCGAGTGGAAATGAGATCTGAGGCGCAAAAAGCTTCTATGCTTCCATGCTTGGTGGTTGCCTTGCTGTGCACCGCCTCGACTTGAAGTATACTAGCCTGAGTGGCTTACGCTCTTGGTACCACCACGTTCTCATACGACAATTCCCTGTGACGTACAATTCGCGTTTTCCCCAGTTGCTGAATTGCTAAGCTCCCTGCATGGCTGCGCACTCGCCCCGTCCCTCCCTCTACGAGATACCAACGCGCGACCTCAAATCGGCCGTCCTCATTGCTCCACCCTACGAGGCCATCCTGGTCGCGATCTAAGATCCAAAGCTCTCGGCATCCTTCCGGCATCCTTCCCCTAGGCTAGCCCTACGAATTCTCCCCTCATACATCAGTCCCCGCACGGGGCACCGGCTAGCCTTCTTGTGACGATAATGCAGCGTGGGAGGACGAGCAAAGGAGCAATTACACACTTGCGGGCTGGAGGCGCACCACATTGGCTGCCGTTGGGAAGCTCTTCGTTCACGGCTTCGCAGCACCTTCCCATGCATAAAGTCTGCTGCCCCAGCCCTCCTTCGGACGTTTGTTTCACCCACCGATGATGCGCCTCGACCAGATCGCATTGGACCAACCCGCGACACATACCTTCACACCCTCCGCTGACCACCTTGGGTGGTTCACCCACCGTTCGTCCCACCTCATACAGGACTAGAAGGAGGGCAACATCTCAGCATGTCGCCGCCGATTTACCCCAACGATGATGGACGCCTCGGCCGTTCCTTACGCTCCTCCATGGGCGCCGGCAAGTCGGCATACAACCTCACCGGCGTAGGGTCGCATTGTGTCACGGCATCTCCCCCTAATCCTTGGTCGCAGCATGGCATTCATGTAAGCCATTCTCTGCTTCGTTGCGCGTCCATGACTAACCTCCCTACCAGCTCGATAACACGCCGCCTTCCGAACATCAAGCCAACGACATCTCTCCCACCGTACACGCGCACGCGAACTCTAGCCACGGCCTACCGCTACAACTCACAGAAGGCTCAGCCAATCTTCGACATGGTCAGCCGCTGGTCGATACAAACGCACCCGAGCACCTCATCACCTCCACGCCTTCGCCGCCACCATCGTCCCCTGATGAGGTTCGGTGCGGACAGTGCAATGTGCCGTTCACTGGTGACGACATGACGAACAACCTCGCACGACACATACGGACCCAACATCCATCGGCCAACGAGAGCCCTTTGATGTGCAAGAAGTGCAAGGTCGTGTGTACTCGCAATGATGCCCTGTTGAAGCACGAGCGCAAGTGCCAGCCGGGCCTACACCCCGATCCCGTCAAGAGAAAGAAGAACAAGACGGACACTGCTACGACTCCCTCACGCAGGGCCAACAAGAGCTCTACACCTCGTCGCCGACCAGCCAAGAGGCCTACCCCAACCAAGCTCGGCTCGGCACCGCAGATCCCTCAAACCCATGCACCTGCAGCACACCCAACCCAGGCCTCGTATACTCTACCCGACATACAGCAAGCACCACGTGAGGGTTCACTCGCACACGACTTTTTCAATATCAGGGGCGCTGGAAATGGGCTTTCGATACCATCCCAATCGTACGATCCTGCAGCAGGCGAGGACCAAGCCTTTCAGGAACTTCATAATGATCTTCAGCAAGCCGTAGAAGCGGCACCACTCCATCAAAGTGTGTGGCCCTTCCAGTTCGGCCAACAGAATCTTGCGCCATACAATGCCGTCCGACAGGAAGGCTGGCCATCGCCTCAGCATTTGTATCCTCTTCGCCCTGCCCATAGTTTCGGGCACCCACTTTCGCCAGTAAATGTAAGCGGCAATCTTGGGTCGACGGATCTGAGTACCCTGCCGAGCAACCAACCGTTCGACACCGCCTCTTCATCGTACTTTCCTTCGACACACCTGTACACCGGACCTACCTCCATACACGGTCCCGCGGATCAAACCCATCACAGCCCTCTAGCGTCGCCTTTCTCATTCCATTCAATATCGCTACATTCCGCAACATCACCTTACAACACACATCAGGACATTCCGTCTGGGCAAGGATCATTGTCCGGGTATCATCACCAGGCTCTTCCGAGGTCTGATGAAAGCTTTGTTCACAGTCAAGAGGATAACGTCTCATTCCTGGATCTGTTCCCATGGTCTCCACCTCCTGGCGAAGATCTAGGGCAGCAAAATCAGAGCGGTCACTAAGCAACGTTTCGTACTCCTCTATTCAAAAAACCGAACAGATGCTTTGCAGTCTACATAGGTATTAAAAGGAAAGTTCATGACATCACGAAGGCAATGTAGACTCCTGGGCTGTCTCGCAGGTGTCCACTCATCCCCCGCATGGGGTTTTGTATTCTTTTCGCATCAGTTCATTTCATAGATTTCAGCTCTTCTTGTATATATCACTTGCTCGATACCCCATCATCAATACATTCTTACAGACTCAAATCCACGTCGCCGTCTAGCGTATTTCCGGGCTCACGCATCACGTTCTACACCACACTCATAACCCCACCATGCACCAGAAACGACTCAGTGGTGACGGTTTTCCAGGGTTATGCTGCGGTGGTTATCAGTAGGTGGGCTAGGTGAGATGCAGTGATGCATCCACGCGCGGAGCTTGTGCGAGCAAGATGCGATTTCGGCGGAGGAGAACATGACGGGCAGAGTGGTTGGGGGGTTAGTGTCGAGGTTAGTGGTCAGTGGGATGAGAGGGTGAGCGATTAAGAGGGCTGGGTATGTTTTTGATATCGAGACGAGGATGCTGGGGTTGCTATCGTTACGCGTTGGGGCTGTGGGGCTAACGCGAAGGGGGCTAGTGGATCGCGGTGTCACATGGTGGGCTTTTGGTAGGGGGTACGTTGACTGTGTACTGACTGTTATAGGATACCAAGGGAGAATTTACCGAGCGTTTCCTCGTGTTTGACTTGTTTTACGCTCTAGTATAGGTAGTGGCGGAGATGTACTGGTAAGGCAGTGCGCACTAGCTCTAGCAGCTACTCTCATGAGCATTAGTGCAAAGTCACTGACAATTACTCCTCACCGCCTGATTCCAGGCCAGGAAACTTTTGGCACCATACCATACTGTTTCGCAATAGGTTCTCACGTGTCGTCGCTCTTCACCCAGTGGAACCTTTTACAACTGTTCGTTATCCCATTCTGAATTGGCCTAAACTTCACTACTCAACTATCTAGACTACCTCTTTGGGAAAACGCTCTTCGCAACAGGTGCCTGACATCATGAGTTGGATGTTGTGAGCTATACAACCCACATGACTATTCAAGAGCCGTGTATACGATACTGTAGCCATGACGTCCCACCCCAAAGACGGTTCTGCTCAGCTAGAGCCCAGAATATCATCTCGATCATTGTTTCCTGGGTGATATCCGGCTCAAACACGACCCTCCGGTTCCAGTCTGGTCCCACTATGACCTTGTATCCCGCAGCTCTCAGATTCGCAAAGAGTGGGAACAGATACTCTATGTTCTCCGCATAATCCTCTGCGTTGTAGTAAGGCACGCCGCGGCCTGGGAAAGTATTGTCCATGGAATCGGGACCTCCTAGAGCGAACCTAATGGTTGTAGTCTCATGAAGCTGGAATAGAGGATCAGCTCTTGCCAAATCGGGGGTCTCTTCGAGAATTCCTTGAGTGACATCAACAGGTATCCAGATTTCGACGTTTCGGATCAGGCCGAATGGCTTAGCCTCTAGAACAGCACTCCATTTAAACCGAGAGAGGCAAGAACTGATCGTGCTGGGATCTGTGGTCCAGAAGGTCGTCATCTTGTACCACATTTCAGCCAGCTCGTTCTTTATCCCGGTATCGGCAGCGAAGAATTTGAAGTCTATCAGTTGCCTGTAAGACTTTTGGGAATGACTAGTGGAACATGCGTGCTCCAAATGCTCCGCATCAAGCTGAACGCATGAATTTTCGAAGACGTAGCCATATATCATGTCGCGAAGTTCCCATGGTAGGCAGTCGCGAGCATGCATGTGCTGGAGGATGGAACGACGATGGACGTATTTTATCCGGTTGCATTTAGCTGTATGGAAAGCCTTGATCTCATCTCTTGTTGCACGTCCTGTTGGACTGTGGTAGGTGGCTGAATGAGTAGCGATCAGAGAGGCTCCCAGTCGTTTCGTCGCGCTATGTAACGTCAGCAATCGTCTTATACATGTCGATAGCGTTCTGCGTACTCAGTGAGGTATGAGCAACACGGAGGCGCAACAGCTTCAGCACGTTCCTCCTCCTGGTTCTCCTTAGCTTCCTGTAGAAGCCCATCGTATATATCTGAATCGTCCATAAGACAACGTGTAATCGCGAAACGTTCATCTGCTTCATCGTCCGAGTAATCAGCATCCCTATTCAGTGGACGACCGAAATAGTAGCTTTTCGCTCGTTAGCCATCAAAACATAGATAGACATGATGGCAACTTACCGCCGTACCGGGATGTCCGCGGCTGTAGAGTCGGGTGTATGAAGGTCTTCCATTCTTGGACCTAGACTCTGTTAATAGTGCGAAATATCGATCGCCGGAGCATCGTACAACGAGTGAGGGTTTTGATCGCGCTTTCAAGAGCAGCGTATTGCTTTTGAAGGGCTGCCACTTGTGACGACAAGCTGCGCGAAGTTAACAGTGGTCTTGATTATGGTGCAATGTTGGTACGTACTCAGGATTGTTCTCATGTTGTAGAGCTTTCACCTCTTTCAGGAGCCCGTCTACATCCTTTACGAGCTTTTCGTAATCAATGTGTAGACGCTCAGTTGCTTCATTTCTAAGGGCATCAGACATCTCCGTATTTGGGGAACTTGGGGAATCTGACGGTCTTTCTGCATGTTAGCCTTTAAGACCTGAATGACTGTTAGAGTGACTTACTGGTTTGTCATACCACCCGCGGTAGCATAGAGATTTGTAGTAATGTCTTGCATATTTCGGCTGTAGAGCTTGTTAGCAGGGCAAAGCTCGATGCAGAAATGAAATTGTAGAAACTTCGGAAGCTGAGAGTTTAAGCAGTGAAATCCGGCATCCGGTATCGCTCGGAAAGCCGTAATACTGGTTTGGTTTTGCCATTCTCTTACTCGTCATTCGTACCTGTATCGTCCAATTCAGTGGTAGCAGAAAGCAGGACGTACCAATACCAGCCGCGGCAGAGCAATCACGGCTGAAAGATACCATTGATTTGATGCGCCCGGTTTCTTGCGGACGTACGCCCCCGGCTGTCCGCTTTGTCTATCTAGGTACTGCTGTCGCTTCCGTGACAGCGTTGTCAAGATCCACGAATGTAGTGTCATGATGTGAGAGCCAATAATGAAGTAAGAAAATCATTATAACTGCACGGTACGTAGTTTTAAACTGAGCATGTGATGTTTTCTGGGATGGTACGGACGGATAAGAGCTCCACTATATCCAAAGAGAAAGCCAGATAATCGTAACAAGCCAATACCAGACCCAAAGTCCACATAGCCTTTACATAAGTCTGGACTACTCTTTCCAAACTCATATAGACCGCAGAAATCACTTATTCTCCCTCAACCATGCCTCCACCCAGCGGTTCCCTCGTTCCACCGCAATCTTACGGCAACACCACGGTTGAATTATCATCTTGTATCCCATACTTCTCATACGCAATGCTACCGGGTATAAAGATTCTGCGCGATGTAAATCGTCTCTCGGATGATGACTCCTTTCAGGGAATCTCTTCACGATGATGATGATGGTTGTGCCCGGGTTGAGACATTTGAGAGAGTCCAGATCTTTGCAGATGGCCTCGCGCATTAATGGGGCTTCTAGGGGTTTTGCCTTTAGTTCGACCCGTCTGATGAGTTGGAGTGGATCAATGCCAGCGCTCCATGGGTACTTTTCCAGAGAGGGGCGAATGAGTGCTGCATCTGTGATAATGAAGTTTGACGTCCGGAACCATGCTTCTATAAGCTCAGTTCTTATCGCAGGGTCGTGGATGTATCCTGGCTTGAGTAGGTAGCTGTAAGGATAGTGCCTTCCAATGTCTTGCTTCACGCAGGGCGAAGCATCGTCGGCGTTCTCGGCTTCAGGGTCCTTCGCTTCCAACAGGACGTATGTGCCCTGAAAGATGTATTCAAACACCATTTCACGAAGCTCCTTCGGTAGACGATCCCGTATACTCTGGAAGAACGCACGGCAATACGGGCCTTCTTGAATCATGATGCGTTCGTCGATTTCGGCTGGAAGTCGGGCGAGGATGTTCGAGAGGCTGCGGTCAGCTGCACTGAAGGTATCGCACTCTGTTGGCGTGGCGAACTTAAATTTGCCATTCAGCTTCGGTGCATAGGCCAGAAATTCTTCACGCCCTCGGTAGTCTTCCAGCCATGCGCTTGCACTGAGTTGTGTTAGCATGTGTCTTGATGACAAGGAAATTGTGTTACATACTCCCTAAGATAGTCGTGGTACTCTTCCTCTTGGGGGTCATCGTAGCTATCAGAAGGGTTGTCCTCATAGAATGGATCCGGGTTGGGTCTCGTGAGCTGTGCCATACTGTTCAGCGCACTGTTGTTGTGGAGTTGTGTTGCAGGTTGGAAAGTGGAAGTAAAAGATGCCTTTGTGGGCATGGAAGAAATATCAAGGGCACATGTGAAAAAGAATTATGACTGTATGCTCTTTGGTCTGGTAACGTTGGGATTGCGGAGCCTGTGAGTGGCTTACCGTCGTTAGACCTCATTACAGTACCAGTAGATGAAATGGATAGCAACCAAGGTATCCTCCACGCTACCTTGTCAGTGACTAATGTGCCTCGCATCTATGACTTGACGTCGTTGAACGTTATCATGATACCAGTGGATGAAGTGGATAGCAACCAATGTATGCGCCAGGGCCCATGGTAGCGACGGTAAATTCGAATTGCGCACTCGCGTCGGTCGCAGACACAAGAGCAAGCGCATATATTCCAAGGCACTAGACCGCGGCCTCCCCACCTGATGTGACAATAGAATACTATCCCAGAGTATTCATCGGTGCCCTATACACCCCGCATATATACCCTACTTCCCCCTACGCGTCCTCAACACCCTGCCCCCTCTACTCGTATCGCTCTCCACAGCACCACTGTCCCCACTCTTTGCTTCTCGTCTGGCTCGCCCCTTGTTTCGCACCCCCTCCTTTTTCCTCGAGACCCTACCGCGTCTACCAGCGTTCTCCTCAGACTCCCCACTTTGCTCTTCCTCACCTTCCGTTTCGCGCTTGGCCAGCGCCTCATTCTGGACCCGCTCTTGTATCCTCAAGACCTTGATCCGCCATATCCGCTGCTCCATGCTCAACTTCAGTTCTTCTAATTCTCTTTTTTCTGTTGCTGTCGCATTCGCAGGAAGTTCAGGCAGAGAGGCTAGTAGGTTCATGGCTTCGATCTCGGCTTCTTCGGTAGCATCTATCGGTACGTCCATTTCACCATCCGATGCCGGATCTTCGTCATCGTGCGCGTCAAGTATGGTCGCACCCTCTTCTTCGTCTTCTGCAGCAGAAATACCGGGCGGTTGCGTCGGAGTCGGAACATCAAGAGTGATGTTATCATTATCCAGCTGCCAGTGCGGCTCCCTGATACGCTGCTGCTCAAGTCTCGATAGTCGTTTCTTCCTCTTCCTGCTTTTCTCCCTCGCCTCATTGCCTTCAAGATCTGAGAGGAAACCAGTGTCATCCGGTACCCGGGGGTCGGGGTCCTGATGCACCAAAGTCGGGAGTTCGACTGCCAGAGGATCTGGCATTGCGTCTTCGTTCGCTTTCCGTCTCTTGCCTCTTGGTGGGGGCTTGGGCCGCGTGGGTTTCTTCACGGCGGATGCATCAGGGTTCAGGTTGACTTTGACGGGTCGCACGCCAGAGAGGTACTGATATTTCCCACCCGCGAGGGGCTCGGACGAGCCCTCTTCCTCCTCTTCCTCTTCGTCGTCGTGGTTGACAGGTGTTTTCGGCACCTGTATACGGGTATTCCGGGTGGTGCGGCCACCTTTCCTTTCCTTCGCGTCTGATTCGGGACTTGCTAGCCCAGCTCCCATCTCCTCGGCATCTCTTTCATATTGTTTCAAGACGGCTTTCAGATCTACAGCTTTGACCCGGCTCGACCTGCCAGCCGCCGACTTGTTCTTCTGTTGACGCATCTTTACAACTTCCTTCAGTCTTCTTGTGAAGTCTAGGAGAGTAGCGCCAGGTTGTGATGAGATCTCGCTTAAAAGCATAATGATGTCGGCACCCCATTGAGGGAAAAGGTCCTGGGGCCATAGTGGACGTGGAATGCAGTCTTTGGCGAATTCGAGATGCCAGTTGGTCATGATAGTGGTGACATGTTGTTTCAAGGACCTTGGAAAGATGCAGGTGAGCTCTGATTGGATGGCTTTCGACAGATCAAAATCTTTGGAAGGTGCCATGTTCGCGTCTGGGAAGAAATGTCGTGTATCGTGTTGGTGTTATTGAATAGTCGAGTGCAAAACATATGGGCTATGAGATGGAGGAGATGGGATTCGTAATTGTGGCGCGTGTGGAGGCAGCATCGTGGTTTGGGGTGAAGACATTGAATGAAGCGGCAGGTGCAGTATTTCCAGGGTAAAAAAGGCGGTCAATGCTCATTGCCGTCAGCCACGCCGACTCGAAGAAGCTAGCAGCAACCTGCAGCTATAGATTTCTTTGAGTGACTTCCCCACGCGTGCGTTCTAGCCTTGGAGGCATTTGCAGTGTCCCAAACGTCGCAGGATGCCGGGGAAGCTCAGAGGATTGTTTACTGAGGAGTGGGTCTGATGATGTCATCAAGTTATTCTTAGGCGGGTTTTGAGTTTAAACTATTGCGGTAAGCTCGGATTCAATAGATTGGGTGCGCAGTAGCTGAAGAACATTGAGATGTGTCGTATCTTCTGAATTTCGCACACTCAAGCTTCCGTCTAGAGACGCCTCCAGATGTTGTACAAGTCGTGTCGCGTATATGATACAGGTATAGCACAAAGCTGAGGAGAGTGTGAACGCCGCCCGCTGCCGAAACCTGCCTGCGGTATATGCCAAACATCCCAAAAACACCGCTTGCCCAGACATCAGACATGTCGCTGCCCGCCCGTGGCCTGATAACGGTTCGCTCTGAAGAGGTATAAATCGTGAATCGAAAACGTTTTACGCGGCCACAGCCATGCCGCCGCCGCCAGATGGTGCACCCACGTCGGCTGGTGGTGGTGGGGGCGCATCGAGCCTTGTGTTGTCGGCCATCATGCGGTTGAAGCCAATTGAGACACCCTCGATGACGGCCAGCAGAATAGCACATGATATCGCGCCGTTTCGCATCGACCTGTATCCTCCTCGTACTGCGAGCGAACCACCTGTGAAGAATCCTGCGATGATGGCGTTCCACGGGTCCTCCTTCTTCCGTATTCCCTTGACTGCGCAGTCGTATGTGTTGAAAAGTCCTCCCCAGACTCCGAAGTTGCCGCCGAGAACAGGCGCGCGGGCTTTGATCGCTGTGATGGCGCCGATGCGTCGCTCGCCGTAGGGTGAGTTACGGAACTGTGGCTGTATAAGCGCAATTCAAAGTATGAATTAAAAGATACTTACACCCTTCACACCATGCCATACTGCTCCTCCGACAGCCTAATGCGATGTTAGTATACGGGCCAGAGATGCAGCGCTGGTGGGGACATACACCCATGGCAAAGGCACCGCCAAAGTCATTCAGAATGACCCAGGGGCAGGGATCGCGCGAATGGTCCATTATGTATTATTGGAGGATATGATGTGTTTTGGGCGATTCCGGGGGTGAGGCGAGGGCGTGGGCGAGCTCGTGGTCGGACGGTAGCCACCGGTGACGATGTGCTTCGATGGAATTTCTTGAGGACCCTTGCTGCTTTGGCGCTAGCGGCAAATCTTCGGGACTGGCGCGACCACTTCTGCCGTCAAACCTCCTTCCATGTCTCGTCACTCACCATCAGAACCTTCTATGCGACGTCATTCGCTCGCCTGTTTGGATTCATATGCTACCTTCTCTGTCATTTGTCAGCCATAGCAGCTCTGTCGAACGATGGAGCTACAAATCGCTCCTCCGCGCAGCACCCATCGCCTGCGACTGTGCACGTCCAATGAATCTATACTGCAAGATCCAGATCAATTCGTCGCGAAGTCTACTACCACCTCATACAAGAAAAAGGCTGAACAGGTCTAGAGCCTACATCAACGCCAACTTGTCTATCTTGTAGGGTTTCAAGCTAATGTAGGCTGCAGGCCTGTTTAGCTCTTTTCTTGGTTGGCGTGCTACGTCTATTCTGTGATAGTAGCAGCTATTCGACATCTATGTGACAGTTCTCCTCTGTCCGCCTCTCTCTCCCGCGATGACTCCCCAGCTTGTCCATCAACTCTGACTGTTTTCGTTTCTATATCTTCAGCATCAATTCTCTGTACTGTGTTTCCGAGGACGTGTGCATCGCTTCCGAGGTGAGAGTGTGACCTGGACATCACTCTCAGACCACGTACAAAAGAGATGATATCTCGACGGAGTTCTCAGACCTACATGCAGGTAACGTACAAGCATCTGTCGTCCATCCAACTCATGTCTTCTCCTCGCTGCAAGCTGAGCTCATGCGTATCATGCATTCACCGCTCACCGCTCCAGAAGTGGTACCAGACTCGCGCTCACCTCGACATTTCTGCTCTCTCGTCCTGGAGCTTCTACGCTCGTTCAATGGTTTCCATTTGCGTACTGCTCTTGGACCCTGCTTTGGAGTCTGTCACCTTGGGTCGGATCTCGGTGATTGGTGTCATTGGCTACGGTACATTGCCTGAATCTGCGTCGCTTGCTCTCTGACCCATTGGGACCTGCCCTACCGGCATCTTCCCATCCTTTGGGGTTCGCTCATGGTTATGGCTGCTTGCGAACAGCGTATTCCACGACAAAAACGATAGAAAAGTGCATTGTGCAGCAAAAGATGTGGATTGTGGCGTCTCCAGTTGAGACTGTGGCCTTTTCGAACATACCGTTGGTACCTGTGAGTCAAACTGGTCGCTGCACATGTCAATATTCCGCTAATCTACGACAGCTTTGCTGGCACTTCTTGCTATAGTCAATAAGATTGAGTCCTGAAGTGCACGCTGATACCTGTGCACCCACCGAAGCCTTGTGGAACAGACTGTTGGGCCCCATGGTCTGCTTCTGTGTCGCCTACGGCGAAGTACCGCCGTGTGCCGGACGTACATAAGATAGCCTCTTCATTCCAACAACCTCCATTGGGAACACTCGATCTCAAATTCATCAACAGACGATATTGATAACGCAAACGGTTTCATCAGCTCAACCGTTTGAAAAGAGAGCGATCGTCAACACAAGAGCTCCATTGGCTCGAGATTTTCAAACACCGTTTCTCTAACTCTCGATCCCGCTGGTCGTCAACAGTGAGATACAGCTCTGCTATTCGACGTTCCTATTCATTGTCTCATATGTTGGATGCACCATGTTGCACTTCCGTGGTACTGCGATCCGCCTCCTCCTCTTTGGCAAACGCGCTCCATCTACGAGCGTTTTGTGGAAGCTGTGCGGTCGAAGACTGTTCCGGGAGTGGCGGCATGGGAGGGCCGTGTTGGATGAGGGAATGAGGTTGATGGATCAAGATGAGGCGTTTGTTGGAGGAGGGGCTGCATGCGAGGCGCTTGATGTCGGCGATACGGATGACGACGTCTGGTGATAACGTGCCTAATGAGCTAATGTGAGCTCCTGAATCCCCTCTACGAGCGCTTCTGTAGAGTTTTCGTCCTCCAAGGTGCGACGCACTACTGTTGATACTTTTTCCCGAGCGTGCTGCAGTCGGCGGCGTTGTCGACACGCGAACCTGCCTCGTTGCCTTGCTGTTAAGTTTGCTTTCTTATGCGCTCTGTCTTCCATATTTGCGATTGTTAAGCAAACCTTAAAAGACCTTCTCTCGAGCCTTTTAATGGCTTGGACAACTCTCTTAATCATGGCGCGATCGTTTCCACTGACTTCGTCTTCTAAGCTTGCTGGAGAATACTGAAGGTGATGTTTGACAGTGTATATGACCGATGGGTGTTCGCAAAAGATCTGCATAGTCCGCAGTTCGACATCAGGCGGACATCGTTTCTTCATCGTGCTGGAGGCTAGACCGAGAGCGTGTAATAAAGCAAGTAGCTCGGCTCTCTCGCGTGTCTTGACGTGTTCGGTCGGAAAGTTTGCGCGTGTAATGCCGTATCTACGCTCTTCGGTAGGCAGTAGTTCTGGCATCAAGGCGCCCGTTTTTGCGCATCTGGCTTGCTGTCAGATGCAGATACCAACGCCCTGCGCTTTTACGTGGTCCACGGCAGTATGTAGCAGCAACTCCAACTTGACCTTTTCTGGGAATACGGAGTTCATCGTGTTGGGCTGATATCGGTAGATCCTGGTTAAATTGTTTCGTTGTGTGTGGAGTGCAGTGCGAAATTGAGCGAGACGACTTTTGCTCGGGCAAACAACACTGGACTAGCGAGACGACTGTACCGCGGTTCATATTTGCCTTATCCGCTCTCTCCGAACGAAGTGGTCATCGTCATTGAACACATGCTGATTCGGCCACGTCGATTGGAAGAGTCTAACCAAAGATCATGTGAAGCAAAAGATGTGCCTCAGTCACCTTTCTTTCTCGACTCTTCCTCATCCACCTTCTTCTCTCGTATCAGTCTTCTTAACAAAGGGATTCGGCGTGCTGATTGTGCCATTTCCATTGTCAGCCGCTCTATCGTGCTGAATCTCCTCCACACAACCAGCACCACCAGAGTAAGACCTATCGTAGACACAAAATATAAGTAGACCCAGTAAGATACCTTCGCGCCGCCATCGTCGGGAGAAAAGTCCCAAAATGTAGTACTGAAGATGGTTGCGACAAAAGTTCTGGGAAGGAAGATGAGAGTAATCGCCGTGATGAGTCGCATATCGGCGCCGTACCGGTGGTTAAGCTGGTTGTCTCTCTGCTGAAGATTTGCTTGAATCTGTAACCATAGGCATAGGCTTTCAACAGATGCCGCATGAGTCTTGCGTACCGTTCGTGTCATAGACTGGACGAGTGTATTGTCTCGTTTTGTTATGAAGCCAAGATTTTCTAAGCACGCTCGTAAGTACATCCTTTGTTCATGTAGTTCGGCGGAGACACTAGTGCGATATCCACTAGGTAGGGTTTGGAGCTGAGCCTTTAAGCAGTCGAGTGCCTCGACACAAGAGGAGCAGTAGTATTGAGTGTTTGCTATACGAGCCGACAGTACGTTGAGTCGTTGAGGTATTCGTGTGAAATTTGCCGTTTGATCGAATGTAACCTCGTGATTTTCGCTGTCAAAGCCCATGGTTTCTTCTAGCTGCGAGCACTCCTCGAAGACTTCGTTTTGCAGTTCCCGGATCTTATGTACGCCCGTAGATAGTAGGATGGTTGGTAATAGAAATGGATTTGACCCAAAGCTCTGAGCGTGTTGGAGACGTCTAATGACACGAGCAACGTCGTCTTCATCCACGAGGCACACTCCGAAGGTCCGTCGCATTGGGCTATTGTGCATGATTGTAGTTTTGCTGCCGGCGACATCATGCACAAACTCTGGAACTTTCGGTAAGCATAGATAAGCTACGAGCGAGACATTCGATCGGGGAGTTCGACACGTTGCGACTGGGAACCCGTCAGAACCAACTCACCTTTACAATGTTTATCATTCAGAAGAGGAGAGAAGGCCGTCGATATGTCTGGTCCACCTCCCAATGAAGGAACGTAGCTGTACGGGAGTTGCCAGTGTGCGCGCAGAGCTTGAATAGCATCCAGTGAATACGGGACAACGCTTGGCCCAAAATCAACGTATGGACTGACAGTCATTAGGCTTCTAGGGGTTCAGTAAAACCCACGACATGGAAGTTTGTTTAGCTAACAGTTCCAGAGACCATTTCGTACCCGGAGTTGATCCAGCCGTCTCTGCACACAGCGGTGGTATAATACTGTCGCGCACCGGCTTTTCGCTGAATTTGACGCCTTCCTATGTACCCTCAGCTTCGTCAAAATAGTTCCTCTGTACATGCACTTACGCTGGTTTCACATATCGAGACGGCAACATGGTAGTCCTGCGGATTCAACTTTTCTGGGTGTCTCTTCCAGTGCTCAAACCGCCACGGGAGATGATCTACTGCCGCCATCGCAGTATAGTCAGCCGATGCGATGATGTATGTGGGCTGGGGACGCCTCGACCAACGGGCGGAAAGAGTGTGTTAAGTATGTGAGGTTAGCATGGATCAGGCTGAAGATACAAGCCCTCGGCTTCTGCGTAATATATGCGAGTGCAAGCCATCGCAGGGCGATCGGTAAAGTTTCGACGAATAAGAAAGCAGCCAACCCAGCTTCGCGTAGCGAGCACACAAGGCTGTGCGAGGCTATGATGGACACCAGTATTGGCCAGGATTGTGTCGCATACATACATTCAACTCTTGAAAAGTAAGCAGTTGCTGCAACAAGGTATACATCTACATTAATGATATTTGGAATACTGCGACACGAATGCTGGCGCCCCTTGGTACGGGTCCAGCTATTGGTTACATGAACCATGGAAGCCATGTGAGTTGGAAGTTGGAAGCCACCTATCGACAACGCAAGATGTTGCAAAAAGCCAGGGATAAGAGTTCTGCTCCCTATTAATGGAATGTGGAGCATGGCTGCGCAAGAGTGAGATGATCCCCGTGGCGCGCCTTGACTCCCAAGGCTGACTGCGGCCAAAGGATGGCAGTCGATATGCAGTCGATAATATCATTCATGGGGCGGAACGACGCCAAGTGTCGTCGTAGTCATGCATGAGAGGCCAGGCTGGATTGTCTGATCGAAGGACAGCTTTCCAACATCTTCTGATCGTCTTCCGAAGACGCGTCGCGGTCGCGAACCTGGTAGCGTACGAACGAGAGAACGTCATTGCTACTTCCCTTGCACTCGCGTTATCATGTCGCCGAAGTTGGTAACGCGACTGTAGAAGATGGGTCAGATACACAGGAGATCGGTGAAAAGTGTGGTACGGCTTCGATTGCGAGAGCTGGGAGCGCGCCCGTGGGTGAGCGCCCGCGTGCTTACGTCATTGATTACCAAGACCTGAAAGGCACCCGCCCGCGCATCGTCTCGGGACACGGCCAGTCACGAATACATCACACAAAGTCAATCGCGAACTTCAATCACGCAACCGTGGACAGAGATAAGAAGGGATACATGCTACGTTTTGCCCAATAGAAGTACATCCAGGACAGGCCGCACGGGACGCCCTCACGAATACTGCATGTAGCTCCTAGTTCATCATCCCCATCCACTTTCCATGCAGCATGATCTACTCCATGGCAGCCACAATCTTCCCGCGACATCTTTCTCTTCAGCTCTCGTCTGCGACAACAGGCCGATCCCGCACACTCTGGAACCACCTATCCAAGTCCCCGAAATGCTTCTCCAGCTTGCTATCAACGCTCTCAACGACCGGTGATGACAACGCGATAGAACTGGAGGTACCAGAACCCGGGGATTGAGTCTGAGTAACCGAAGCTTCCTGCGCACGCTCCAGATCCTCTTCCGCCTCATCCACTAGTCGATCAATCTCTTCCGGTACCAAGCCCTCGCGATCGAGTATGTCCTTGATCTTCTCCGCCACTACAATCTGTAGCCTGGTCGTGGTCTGCCTTTGTTTCAGTGCTGCAGCGAAGTCCTCTAGGGTATCCGTAAGAGCGTTGTTGTCGTTCTTGTTGCGATTGCAGCCATTCCTCCTTGCGCCCTTGACTTTAGGCGGCGCAGCTAGGGTTTTGACCTTCCTGACGATAGGCTCAATGTAACCGATGAGAGTCTGGTAGTGATCCAAGTAGGCTTCATAGTATCTTAGACGCATCTCATTTGCTTCTTGGTGAAACATGCGGAACGCTTCCCCGTTCTCTTGCGCCGCTTCTTCATACTTATGTGCCAGTTCGAGCGAAAGGCTTGCCAAGTCCTTGATTTGATCGATGTACTGGTCGTACATCTTTACCACCTCTTCCAGATAGGTTGTGGCGGTGAGCTTGATAAGGAGCATGAAGATGATGGGGACGAGGAACTGGCGACCTAGGATCAAAGATACGGGCTGGATGAACGCGATATGAACCACTGTGTAGAAGATAAGTAGAACAGCTGTGCCTGGTGAGAACTTGTGTCGAGCACGTGGCGGCTCGTCGACGGATTTGCGCAAGATCCGGTTGAGCTCGTCCATGTCGACAGAGCTGGGTCCCTGGCGCGTCTCATCAGGTTCCGCTTCAGAAGGGAGCTTGCCCTTGTCGACACTGGGCTCCATGGTCGCCGTGTTCGGAGTTGGACGTTGGGTAGTGACAGGCTCAGCGCCGGTTTTCATCGCTATCTTTGCTTGGGATGACTCGTGTTCTGGTATTCTTGTCCAGGAAGGTTCTGGTCACGACGAAAGAGCTTCTCATATAGACGATTGGGTGTGGTGGATTATACTACGTCATTTGCTATTTGTTGTGGACGTTTCCACCTAGCAATCAGGCAACCACACCACATTACTCTTTGCAGTTTGGACTTGCGATTAAGACAGCGTCATCAAATTTCGGGAGATTGCTACTGGTATAACTGACCAGAGTGCTTTTAGGGAAATATCTTCTGCCGGACCTGCGACGTCACGAAGAGAAGCTGCCATGGCGAGCCAAATATACACAAGGCTCACACAAATGTAACATTTCACTGCTCCACTACCTATGTATGCACCACGCCTACTCTGATCCCCGCCCTACGCCTATCCCTGCTCCTCAGCCCTATCCACCTTCCGCAAACAATTCCTAACCCTCCAATCCCCCTCACAATACCTCTCCAGCCTCTCCCTATGCCCATTCAACCTCACTTCCAACCCAGGATCAATCCTAGCAGGAGCAGCAGGATTCTTCGCCAGATCTTCCAGATGCATCAAATATCCATCTACCACCGCCGCCTTCTCTAGATCACATTCTGCATCGCGGATGGAGCCATCGACTCCCTCATCTCTCAATGCGCGTGTCGATTTCGAGTAGAGAATTTTCTCGATACTCTCAGTTATGCTCAACCGCAATTGTGTTCTTGATCGCATCATGTAGAGCTTATCGAAGGGCAGGTTTAGTGGGGGAGCTTCGGAGACCTTGGCGTTGTTTCTATTTAGATGTTCTAGGAAGCTGATGGTGCTGCTTTGGTGTTTGTGGAGGGATGTGTAGTGCCTGAGGCGGGCTTCGTTGATGCGTTGTCGATGCCTGCTATGCGCTTCTTCTCTTCCTTGGAGACAAGCAGAGAGCTGTTCAGCTAAAGCCTTCTTCTCGTCTTGTAATCCCTTTACCGTATCCGCATTTTCTCTTAGAGTTCTCTTCTGTGCGTCCATGGTTTTTTGCAGGTACTCGATCGTGATGGCGAGGATGCAGATGAATATGTTTGGCAGGAAGAATGCAGAAGCCAACTCAGCCAAGATGAAGACATCGCTCGTGAAAAGGCCGGCGCGGAAGTGGAGCAAGCCGTAGATGGTGGGTGCCCACATTGTAAACTGTACAAAAATGGTTTGGAGATACTCAAGCGTAATGTAGCCAGCAAACTGGGACTTTCGAGGCACTTCCGTGGTGGTTGGGACGTCGGGATCCGTGGCGGAGGACTCGTCTCTTGTCGCTCTGTCATCAGCGTTTGGCTGAGTCTGATCCTCGGGGTCCATAGTTGCAGTTGAAGACATCGAGAAGACTACCAAATTAGAGCGTTCTGGATGATGAGCTACGAACAGTCGCGGAATGACGCACACAATATACCAATGCACTGTTTGTACGGAAGTAACGCGCAAAGCGCTCCCCAGTTTGCGCTCCGCAATCCCGCAGTCTATTATTTCGGAAGGCAAACAAAGCCTAGAAGGTTCGTGAAACCGGTCGCTAAGACTTGCGTACAATTGATCATCCTCTTCGACACGACTATTCAACAACCTCATCAAACCCCAGCCCATCCAAGTTACCCAAAAACTCCATATTCCCCTCCCCAGCCATAAGCGCATCAACATCAATACCGCCATTAGTTAGATACCTCGCACTAACCCCCGTATTGATCCTCTGACTAAGCAAATGCTTGAGTTCCGCCCGTAGCGCCTGCATCTCTCCCTTCGTCATCTCACTCGCCTCCTTCTCCTTCTTCTTGCGACCACTGCCTCGACCCCGTTTCCCCGGTGCTTCCTTCTCAAACTCCTCGCTGTCGTAGTCTACGCCTAGATCCTCAGCTGCGCGGCGTAGCACATCGTCTTCGCTGTGTTTCTTCTCCTTCGCGATGACGGTGTCGGCGAGACGTTTGGAGATGGCGGCGCGGGGCTTCAGGCGGGAGACGATGCGGCGGTCGATGTCTAGGGTGCGGATGAAGAAGGCAGTTTTCTTTGATTTGGGGGCGTCGCTGGCGCGAGCGTGCACTTTGGCGACGAGGCGACGGACGCCGCCGACTTCTTCGGGGGCGCAGATGAGGATGCTGGCTCCGGATGCGTCGGCTCGGGCGGTACGGCCGGAGCGGTGGACGTAGGTGTCGGCGGCGCGGGGGAGGTGGTAGTGGATGACGAGGTCTATCTTGGGGATATCGAGACCTCTGGCGGCGACGTCTGTGGCTACTAGGATGGATCCGGGTCGTTCTTTAAATCGTTCGATCGAGCGTAATCGGGCTTTCTGGGGCATGTTGGAGTGTAGGGGTAGAGCTGGGAGCGCCAGATTCGTCAGGAACGGCGTTATGCGGCGTACTGCCGAGATAGAGTTGGTGAAGACTAAAGCGCGCTTCTTGGTGTAGAACATGAGTAGCGAGTAGAGATACAGGTCCTTCTCAGGACCGGCACATTCAATGAGACCTTCTTGCAACCTGCTGGCCATCTGCGAAGTTGGGTTGGCATCGATGAACATTGGCTTTTCCTCGCGGAACTGAAGTTTCTTGAGTAGATACTCCATCGATTGTTGTTGGTTCATCAGATCCCCACCACCATACTTCTGCTTCCCAGCGAGCTTGTGCTGCAGTTCCTTTCCGAAAGTGGCAGAGAACACAAGAGTTTGCCGTTGAGATTCCGGCGCTTCCTCAATATCGTCTTTCTCGTTAGGCTCGTCATCGGGCTCTAGGACTTTGAGAATCTCTCCCATTTCCTTGAAGTGTCCTTGACTCAATAGACGATCAGCCTCGTCTACAACCAGGAACTTGATTTGCTTGAACTTGGGTAGCACTCCTGAGCCGCTGCTCATGACCTCCCACAGTCGTCCTGGTGTTCCAACAACGATATCGGCCTTCTCTAGTTGTCTGCGCTGCTTTTGCACGGACAGACCACCTGTGATGGATGCGATGTACGGGGAGTCGAAATCGCCCTTTGCGCAAAGGGCGATCAAATGATCATTAATCTGATGCGCAAGTTCACGCGTTGGCGCGATGATCAATGCGATGGGCGCCTTGTCTTCGGGCTCTTTGGGTGTCGACCGAGCAGCAAGGTATGTCTCGACAATCGGGATACCAAAAGCGAGGGTCTTTCCTGAACCTGTCGAAGCCTTGCCGATAACATCACGCCCAGACATGATTTCGGGTATAGTAGACGCTTGGATACTGGTAGGTTTCGAGAACTTGAGCTTCGCCAACGCACCCAGCATCTCTTCGGAGAGGTCGAGTTTAGCCCATGCGCGGACGTCTGTCTCATCGTCGTCGTCATCGGCGTGGTTCGCCAATATATCCCAAGCGCCAGGTCCGAACGTCTCGCCGTCTTCGCGATCTTCGATATCGGAGGGTTCGTCGTCCTCGGCATCCTCCTCCTCTTCGACCTCATCTGGCGTCGGCAGCTCTGCCTTGGCCTTTTCCTCTGCCTCCCTCTTAAGCTTCGCTTCCTTGGCCCTCTTCTTCTTCTCAGTCTTTGTCAATTTCTTCACCTCCGGCTCGCCGTTGGTAGCGGTTGCGCCAGCTGCATCCTTAGCATCCACGTCTTTTGTCTGTTTCAGTATCCCCGCCGGCGCGTCTTCCTCATCGCTGAAGCCCTCCCATGCGACCTCCTCATCTGCTTCCTGCAATTTCTTTCCTACGCTCTCATCCTGTCCTACCACCTTCTCCTCGTCAAAGGTAATCTGCTCCAAGCGTTTTTGCTCATCCTCCTCCCGTTGCCACGCTTCCTCCACATCCTGTGCCACCTCATCTTCTGTCTTTGTAGTCTCAAAGGTAAGATTGCCAGTAACAGGATCCTTCACAATCTCAACATCTTCAATCTCTTCTAGTCCGTAGAAACCCTCAGTATCCTCCAATCGATCGGGCATCTCCACAGTCTTCCATCCTAGCTCGTTGAGTTGGACACGGCGCTTAGGTCTCGTGGACGGCGGAAGAGGTTTAGGGAAGTCGTCGAGCTTTTGACGTTTGGGTTTGTGACCCTTATGCGACGCTTGTTTCGGGGCGGGATTGGGGCGTTTCATGGTGGGCTGTGGGTGCGATTGAGGTTTGTCGTGGGTTGGATGCGCGCGCCGTGAACTTTTTGGAAAACTTGTCGGCCTTCGGGAGTCCGCTCGCCCCACTTTTGTTCTAGCCCACTTGCGCTTTCCCACACTTCACGTGCGAATGACTCGCACTCATTGATTGACGTTTTCTAGATCGGCAACGACGAGAGACACGCATAGGACATAGAAAGAGCAGGGACACGTTGACCAGAAAAATCGTTTCAGAGGTGGTTGGCACATCTTCACAGAAGCCTCACGGCCATTACATCGCCCTACCCGCAGTGAAAGAACTACACACCCCACCAAACCAACATCTAAACACCAGAAGTTTGACGTCAATCGACGTCAACAAAATCCACCCAAAATGGGCAAATCCTCAAAAGACAAACGAGACGCCTACTACCGCCTCGCCAAAGAAGAAGGCTGGCGCGCCCGCTCCGCCTACAAACTCCTCCAACTAGACGAAGAATTCAACCTCTTCGAAGGCGTAACGCGCGTCGTAGACCTCTGCGCCGCACCAGGAAGTTGGAGCCAGGTTCTCTCGCGCGTGTTGATAAAGGGGGAGAAGTTTGGGAGAGCGGGATGGCAGGATAAGCAGAAGAATATGCGGGATTATGTTCTGGGTGGTGGGGAGAAGAAAGAGATGGAAGAAGGAAAGGAAGAAGTGGATGTAGAGGGAGAGGGGGAAAAGAAGGTAGACTCGACACCAAAACTCACACCAAGAGAAGGTATCCGCATCGTAGCCATCGACCTCCAACCCATGTCCCCGCTCGAAGGCGTAACAACCATGCGCGCAGACATAACGCACCCCTCCACCATCCCCCTCATGCTCAAAGCCCTCGACCCAGACACCTACTCCCCCTCCTCCCCCCTCAACTCCTCCCCCGTCGACCTCGTAATCTCCGACGGCGCCCCCGACGTAACCGGCCTCCACGACCTCGACATCTACGTGCAATCGCAACTCCTCTGGGCAGCCCTCAACCTCGCCCTATGCGTCCTCAAACCCGGCGGCAAGTTCGTAGCCAAGATCTTCAGAGGCAAAGACGTAGATCTGTTGTTTGCGCAGCTCAAAATCGTGTTTGAGCGTGTGAGAGTGGCGAAGCCGAGGAGTAGTCGGGCGAGTAGTATAGAGGCGTTTGTGGTTTGTGAGGGGTTTTGTCCGCCCGAGGGGTTTATGGCGAGTTTGGAGAGGCCGTTGGGGGCGGGGACGGTGTTGCCCGAGCCTGTGAGGGAGGAGTCGACGTCTTCAGATGCGAAGAAACCGGAGAAGAAGGTTACGAGCCGGGTCAGGGAGGATGGTGCGATTGAGATTGATCTGGGGGATGAGACGGATGACGAGGATGATGTTGAGGAGGGTGGTCGACGGTGGATAGCTCCGTTTCTGGCTTGTGGCGATCTGTCGGCGTATGATTCGGATGCGACGTATCATTTGCCAAAGGATAGGGTTAGTCTGGATCCTGTACAGCCGCCTACTGCGCCGCCGTATAAGAGGGCGTTGGAGATGCGGAAGTTGGCTGGTGGAGCGTATGGCAAGACAAAGGGAAGAGCAGAGAAGGCAGCATCATAGTAGAGGCTAGATACCGTTCCGCTACCTTCAAACATCACTTAGCTACATCAGATCATGATTCAGTGGCATGTAAGACGACGTTGCCTTGCGGACACGGAACCAACGACAGTCACTCGAATGAGAACATTTGAACTTGAAGCTTTATTTCTGTATACAACAGCTAAGCATATCCCCTTTTAGGTAGTCCAAGATGAGTAGTAGATGCTTCTCCCATATCGAATGAACATCGCTCCCACAAGATCACCTTAACCCCAAAATATGCCCAAAGCTTTTGATAGTAAATGTCATAGCATGCCCAACATGATCATGAAAATGCCTAAGCACGCTCCCTACGGCCACCGTTGCCACCCTTGGAAACAATGTCGAGAATCATCTGGCGGGCCTCCTCGCAGCCATCCTTGGTACCGACAATCTCGATAGCCTCATCCTTGGCTTGGTCGCGGGGGACCTGAATCTTTGTGCCGGTCTTCTTGCGGAGATCGTTGATTGTAGCACCACCGGGTCCGACAACGAGCCTGTGAGGGTTAGCATGACTGCAATGTAGATGTGTTGGACGCGTGAGCTTACCTATAGCTTCTTGGGTCGGGCAGGATCAGGTACCCAGTGGCGGAAGGCTTGGAAGCAGCCTCAATAGCCTGCTCAAGCCTTTGACGGGCCTTGGGAAGGCTCTCAGTGGGT